TGATGTCATCGGCCTTGGCTGATTTGGCTAGTTGTGTCGTCGATGCAACGGCTGGTTTGGCTGGTTGTGTCGTCGATGCAACGCTGCTAGAGACGATGCTCGCACGTGTTTCTGTTGTTGACGTTTTCGTGATTGTCGTCGTCGTGCTGGTACCAGTGGACGTCGACGTTGTGCTGGTAGTCGTAGCGGTAGTCGTAGTGGTAGTCATGGTGATTGTGGTAGTGGTGGGGGAGTCTGTGGTGGCGCTTTCCACCGTTGGAGCCAGAGCGCTGCCCAAGGAGTCGGAAGTCACATTTGACGCGTTGCTGAAGGGAAGACCAGCCAATCCGCTGGCATTTCCGGTCGCCAGCACTGGCGCGTCACTTAGCGCAGGTGTCGTCGTGACAGTTGTTGTCGTTGAGGTCGTGGTTGCAGTTGTGGTCGTGTCCGTGGTTGTAACGGTTGTCGTTGTCTTGGTTGTAGTGACTGTCGTGGTCGTATCCGTTTTGGTCAAGGTCGTCGTAGTCGAGGTGCCGGTTATGGTTGTTGTTGTCACGGTCTTGGTTTCGGTCGCAGTGGCAGTCGTGGTCGTTGTCAATGTTGTCGTGGTTGTTGTCTCTGTCTGAGTAACTGTAGTAGATGTGGTTGTAATCGATGTTGTTGTCGTAGTGGATGTCTCTGTTGCCGTGGATGTTGATGTAGTAGTTGAGGTTTTCGTGGTTGAGGTCGAAGTGGTCGGACATGGTGGTAGACTACAGTCCTGCTGATCTCTGTCAACACCTCTGCAGTGAACTCCTGGCACCAGTTTAACAGTTTGGGCTAGATATTTCACAAACATTCAAATCTGATTCAACACCCGCCTGGCGTTGAGGACGGACGATAGTTCCGCTGCCGCTGGCGTGTGCCCCCAGCTCCACACGTGGCGGTACAGACCGACCATTCCCTCCAGTCATCCCATGTACAAGGACTTCGACAAGTAGGATCGAAACCTTGGGAGGTAAATTTGCAGGCTCTTGCCCGAAACGAAGCACCAAAGTAGGCCAATAAAGCATGCGCCAGGTGCAGGTCCAAAGAGCATATCTTCTCCTTCTTGGTCTGTTCCTTGTGAGTCTCGAAGCATGGAAGTCCTCCATTTTGAGCCTGCAGGGGAGACACTGGATGTTGCCAATGACAAGGCAAAGGCCTAAGGCTGCTACTGCGTGATCGTGTTGACGCACCTCTACCATCTGACGGGTGCTGACGGACACTGCTGAGGTTGAACATGGCGGGCATGATGACCAGTCCTGCAACAAGTGGATATGCCAGCGCGAGATCATCACGGAACTCTTGCGACCCAGTTTCCGACCAATCCGTGAAGTAGCAGTCAATCGGGCATTTCTGCACAGGGCTGACAAGAAACGCAAAGGACAGAAGTCTTCAGCTTTCCAACCGCCGACCTCCGTCTCCATGGAGTCGCCCTCACAGTGCTGTCCTCCGCCTTTCTGTGGTGTGTTGTCGCGAATCCTGCGCGGAAAGTATCGAAAAGAAACTTCGCTGACATGTACAGGCATCCCTCCGCAGTTGCAGCGATACCTCGTCCGGGTTCCTTGCTGATGAACGCTCTGATCGGGACAGGTGTCCGACCAATCCTTCGACAGACTCCGACACAGACCACAGTTTTGCATTCAGCATTCGCAACAGCTCAAGTCCTGCCAGTCATCCCATTTGCAGTCCACGCACAAATTGCTGCAATTGGCCTGCCCGTGATCAGTTGCGAAAGGAGCAGGCACTTGACACTAGTTCCAGAAAGTGCAACTTTGCCGAAGCCTCCTCAAACCACCCAAGGCAGTGATCATTGATCTGAGCTCCCATGTTCGTTCGGCGCATCCTAACTCGCGTTCCTTCACAGAAAGGATAGCAGTCCGTCCTCAGACACGAGACAAGCAGGCCGCACTTTGAGTGACATGCAAGGCACCGACTGACAAGCCTTGCACAACTTTTCACAGCCTGACTTGGGCAGTAGCCATTCATTCCAATCTGTGTACACGCACGGGGGTAGCGTAGCGGTTGTGGTGGACGTCGAGGTGGTCGTGGTTTCAGTGGTACTCGTGAAGGTTGTGGTCGTGGATGTGTTTGTTGTCGTTGTGGGCAAGGTTGTTGAAGTCTTTGTGGTGCTGGTGGTGCTCGACGTGCTTGGGACTTCTGGCGAAGTCGCCGTGCTTTCCGTGTCGTTTACCGGGGTCTCGTACTTCTCCAGCATCCACGTAGTCGAGACCGCTGAATCCTGGAACGGTAGCTCACCCGGTTTCTTGGTCAGGTGGATGGGGAGAATGGACAGCTCTGTTGTCGTCACGACCTGCTGCATCGCAGCGAACTTTCAAGAAGCTACAAGTAACAGGCACAACAGGAAGAGCCTTAAACAAGCACAAGTGAAGGCCTGCCTCTTCTTGACAGCAGAGGGCATCAAACCTGATACGTACTGGAGTGACATTTATGTGAATGCGAAGGATGCTGTGCAAAAGCAGAGTGGGTCGAGAGGCGAAGATGCCGCACTGTGTCCACAGCTCAAGGAGGCTGCATCTGAGACTTGGACGATGCATCCTCGATCGGACAAGTCAATTACAATGGGAGGTCGGGAGGTGTGTTCCTTTGGTATGCTGCGGCCTCCGTGTGCTACCGGCTTCTCTATTGCTGGCGCGTCTCCTTCGGAGCTCGATATCCAAGCTGCAAAGGATCCTCGCCGCTGCGTCTCCTTGAACGTTGGCCAGGAAGCCCTCAGTGGGTTAACGATGGCTGAAGCTTTATCGGACTTCAACAGTCTACGTCTGCGACTGGCCAGTGGCTTCCGAGGCTCTCCACTTGAGCAGTCGTGCAAAGCTTGCTTCGAACTGCTGCGCAGGCCAGGGCTGCTGCTTCCAGAGTCAATGCATTGCTCGAAGATCCAAACGCACCTCCCTTTTGTAAGGTCATGACACTTGGCTCCCCAGATGTGCCATTCACTGCGAGCAGCCTAAGGCTGGTCGTGGACATCTGTGTTGTGGAAGGGGGTTCTTCTGTCGTCGAGGTTCGCGTCGACGATGTGGTGGGCAAGGTCGTGGACGTCGATGTTGAGGAAGAGGTGGCAACTGGAGTTGTGGAGTTGGTAGAAGCAGAGGATGAAGACGTGGTTGATGTGGTCGTACTGGTTGAGGTCAATGTGGTTGATGTGACAGTGCTCGGTGTTGTAAGCTCTTCAGACGTCGTAGCCCTCCTCGATGTGGTGGTCATAGATGTGGACTCACTTGTGCTCACAGCCGCCGTGCTTGTGTTGCTCACCAAGCTTGTGGTGGACTCTACCGGCTGAGTGGTCATGGAGGTCGTCGACTGACTTGTCGAGGTTGACTTGGTTGTAGTTTGGAAAGAGGTGGAGGGCGATGTACTTGCCGCCTCTGCCGTCTCTGTCGTAGTGGAACTAGGACTTTCCGTAGACGAGACTTCCTCTGAGCCCAGGTCTTCAGCTATTTCGTCCCCCTGCGAACTCGATGTGGTGCTCTCTTGGGAGGTTGTCGTTGACCGACTGGTGGTTGCTTTTGATGTCGTTGATTCTTCGTCTTCGCCGAAGGCTTCCGTAGAGCTTGTTTCGGTTGTAACGCCAGCCGTCGTACTCGTTTCGGCTTCTGTCGTGGACTCTGTTGTCGTAGTTCGTCCTTTTGACGTCGTCCCCTCCTCCTCAAACTCCTCCTCGGTGGTAGTAGTGGAGTCAGGCGATGTGGTCTTGGAGCTCGATTCTCGGCTTGATGTAGACTCTTCGGTGACAGATGTGGTCTCCTCTTCCTCATAAACCTCCTCAGTAGTGGTGGTTTGCCTAGCCTTTGTTGTCGAACGCTTCGACGTGGACACATCGGATTCCTCAGTAGTGCTTGTTTGATCCTCTGTCGTTGAACGCTTGGATGTGGATGCATCGGATGTAGTCTCCTCATCATCCGTCTCGGTGGTGGTGGCACTGGTACTCGTCTTTTCTTCTTCGGATGTAGTTGTAGTAGAGGGTGAGTCTGTTGTGGAAGTATTGGCTATGGCATGCGACCTGACGATGCCGTCCGAGGCAACAGCAGCCTGGCACAGTACCAGTGCTGGATCAGCACAGTGCACGCATGTCACTGAAACCCTGCTTCATCATGAGGCCTCCATCAGAGCTGATCTGTCGGTGCGCATGATATGTCTCCTGAGCAAATGAATCACTGCGCAAGCGATCCGGGTGATGGCATGCGCCGCATGGCAGCAGGGTCCTGGGCATCACCTTGCCCGATGGGTTGACCTTCAAGCATGGGAAGAGAGCGCGAAAGCAAGCAGGCCATTTCACCCACTTTCTGCCCCACCTCTGCTTCTGCGTCCGAGGAATCATGCAGGGTCAGTGCCGCAGACAGGTTCAGGATGCAGAAGAGCACCCAGCATCTCATTGATATGAACCTTTGCTGCCCAACCCATGCCAACTCCTGAACAAGCGACAGCCATCAGATTCGAGCTGAGGCACTTATGGAATGTGGCAGGCAACCGCAGTGTCCATGTCATGTCGGACACATCTCACAAGCCGAGAACGGCTGCGAAATAAGGGAGGCTAGTGCAGTAACACTCTCTCGATGACCTCCTAGCTGGCGGTCTATACATCCTGTCTCCAGCATTTTGCCTCTTTGGTCCTTACGTCTCATCATTGGCTGGCTGAGGCGAGTACATTGCGCGCACATTCACAAAATTATTCTCTACATGTTGCTACAAACATAAGAAATGACGGGGTACAAAGGTGCCTTCCAGCACTTTGGGATGGACACGTCTTCGAGCCCCGAGCTAGTTCCATGCACTGGAACCGAATTCACATCGCTGCGGGTACGGGTCGTAAAAGTGAGGACTGACCTTTTGCATGATCACCATGGTAGTCACCAGCAGAAAGACGGAAGCAAGGAAGGAGCCTTGCTCTGCATCTTGCGGCTGTGCCGTAAAGAGTGCCAGCCAGCAAGCGAGCTGGCATGGTTTCAGTCAAACAGAGCTTCGGGAGCCGGTGCCATCGCTCAAGAAAAAATGCTTGACCTCGTCCCAGCATAACACAAACGGCGTGGAGCAGACACCATCCAGAACTGCTTGCATGATTTCTCCGACCGCAGATTGAGTGCACAGCTGCAGTGAGGCAAGCTTTGTGTCCTTGCTGCGTAGTCGAACCACTCGAGAGAGAAGGCATGCTTGTTTTGCAGATCGCAGCACATTTACTCTAGCCGTGCCACAGCAATCATTATGAGCCCCCAGCTTTCGCAAACTGCAGCATCTTCTCTCTTTGTGCAGCGCTCGGGCCTGAGGGAGGAGATGATGTCGAGCAGATGAGCCATGATGAGGCATCAATGAATCAATTCAGGTTAGGACCCCCTTGTCTCGTAGGCGAGTAAGGCGACATGAGGCCAGCCCTGCAAAAGATGCAGAGACGACGAAGCTTCGGCTGACAATGGGCTGAGGCTCGGGCCCACTTCTGGGAGACACGGGCACCTGACCGCAGCAACAAAGTCGTCTGTGCTCCCAGGCACGAGACCCAGAAGATGCGCAACCGTGCGCAGCCTCGAGGGGTGCTGGCTGGCCAATGTTCTCCCTCACCTTTCAAGGGCACGAAAGCCCTAAAAAAAAGTGCCACGATAAACAAAAGCAGTCACCGAGCCTGAGAAGAGTCCAAGCAGTCTTGCTTGCGAGACAAATGGAAGACATCACCCTCGAAGTCCTGTCAGACACGGACATGCTTTCAGATTCAGGGCCACGTTTCCGCCTTGTTGAACTCTTTCTCGCGATGGCGACCTGCAGAGAGAAGCCCACGTCGCTCCACGTCAGGAGGCGCCCGACATCTGATACAAGTTGCTTTTTTGCATTGCATTTGACTTCAACCCCGAACTGTCGATGCACATGCACGTCAGCACGTGGCCGGCAATGTCAGCAAAAATTTGAACAAGCAACCCCTAGGGACACAATGGACAAAGAGCTTGAAACTCATGCTAGCGAAGCGAATAAGTTGCTCCGACAACAGGGTTCGTGCAAAGGAAAAACGTTGGAAGTTCACGGCTGAAATCGGACCTCTCGTCCTCCGTGAGATAACCCAGAAATGTGCTTTGCAACTTCCCGACATCATGCTCAGCTGATATCTGACGACCATCGACAAAATGCCAACAAAACACAAACCCCTCAGCACGATCCAAGGCAGGCCAAGGCAGGCACGTGAGACCTCTGCATTGATGGCCATGCCTTCTTTGCTGTCCCAAACGCCCCGCTCCACGGCGAGTGCCTGGTGGCTGACACCAAAGGAGCCAAGGAAGGAAAACGGCGGGGGGGGGGTTGCCCTTGTTCTGCCTGCTCCAGTTCAGCAGCCTTTTGGCCTCTGGGAGTCTTGTGTCCATGAAGCGTCGACGACATCTCCGCCTGCGGCCAGGGCAGCCAGCAGGCTTTGGTGGACCTTCTGTGCAACGTGACGGTGGATAAGGCCTCCTTCCTGTTTGCAGGGGTGGTGGCACCTGCCAGCCTGACAAGTCATTCATCATGTCAATATGCGGCATTGTCTGCCGCCTGGCAAGCTCCCCTGGTTCGGCCTTCCTTCCTCCCGGCGTGCTGCCTCAATTTCACCGCGATGATCCAAGAAAGTGCATGTCGATGTGCCAATGATATCCTGACACAGCCACCGACCAGTGGCTCGGGTTGATGCATCTCGCAAAGCAAGTGAATGTTGCCTGGCGCTGCTGCGTCGGTGCTTGACGCCGGCCCATTTCGGAACCGAACAGGTCGGAGTAGTTGCGCATTTCCTTGCCACTTCTCCTTCCGGTCCCGAGCCACTGGATGCAGTTGCATTTCCCTCTGGAGCCCTCCCACCCATTTGCTTCGAAACCGAAAACCGACTGGTTGAACAGCTGAGAACTCCAACTATTGAAATTCAAGCACTTCAGAAAGGGTCGAAGGAGTACAGCCAAGGATTCTCTAAGGATTTCAATGATTTTCATTTATGTCCAACCTGTCGTGGCATGTATGATCGAACCAATTGAAAGGGTGCTTGCTTCAATCGTTTCAACAGCCTTGGGATCCGAACATCTCCAGTGACGGAATCCATAGAATGGTTTGGTTCTCAAGCATTTCAAGTGGCTAAAATGCTATACCTATACGAAGAGAGTAGTAGCCCGCAAAATAAATAGACCCCAAGTCTCTCGCACCGGCTCTCGTTTATACCGGCAAATATGAGTATATTCTAAATAGACAAACGTAAGTATACATGCATGTTCGTCTGCGTGTGTATATATATATACATATATATATATATATGCTATATATATATATGTATATACATGATGCACTGTCACTCCTGTCTGCCTTGCGGCAATCCTTTTCAGCACAGCCGCACAGGTTGTTGAGTGCTCGAAGGCAGGGCAGCTCACGTTTTGAGTGCCTGCCACACCCACGGCTCCACTAAAGGGAGGGTGGGCGGGCCAAGAAAAGCTGCACATCCGCTTCGTACATCATGCGCAGTCATGATGCACTGTCACTCCTGTCTGCCTTGCGGCAATCCTTTTCAGCACAGCCGCACAGGTTGTTGAGTGCTCGAAGGCAGGGCAGCTCACGTTTTGAGTGCCTGCCACACCCACAACCGACTCAGGGCCGTTCACGCGCCCGTTGCGTCTCGCCTCTTACTGCAAAGGTGTAAAGGAAACCAGCAGCTTTGATCCTCGTCCGCACTTCTGCAGAAAGCGTCGGGAGTAAGTTTACGGCCATCATCTCCTGCAGATAGTGCTCCAATGTGCTTTGCGATCTTACCCGCATGCGCCACATCAGATCAACGACCGAAGCACCTTTTTGAAAAGCCGAAATTGCTCCTCCGGCTCGCAGCGAAGCTGGTGTCACCTTAAAGTGCGTCGGCACCCCCAGCAGTTGAAGAAGCTTGTCCCATCGCCGTCGGTACACCGACGGACTCCCAGGGTACAGGCGCGCAGCAGCAAAGAGCCTGCGCCACTGTGACTGCAGAAAAACCACTGCCTCAGGATCGTGAAGCTTCACGTGCTGCACTCTTGCAGCTTTCCTGCGGCTTTTGGGTTTTCCTACTCTGATGTAGATCCAGGGATGAAGCTCATCCAACAGATCTTCCGGCGTCAGAACGTCTCGTCTGAATGCCTTCAGAATCTCGCCAGGCCTAGCAACAGAGTAAAAACAAGCCAAGGTGACGCAGGCCCACCGAGTCCACTTCAAAGCCAATGCAAGGCCCACCATGGCCTTCAGCAGAGCTTCTGGAAGCGGCGTACGGTGAGCTACCGGTTGCAACTCTTCCCAACGGCTCACCATATCCCAGGCGGGCTTAAGGTGAACTCTCAACAGCGGCAGGATCTTCTGAGAATGGGCCAACAGCTGACGATAACTCCCCAGCGAAGCACCTCCTCGGTAGAGCTCGTCAGCGTAGTCTCGCAGCACCAGAGACAGCAGAGCGGGACACTTAAACAGATCCAGCACTGCCGCCTCAGACAGTCTCTCTCGCAGCCATGCTTTGAAGGTGTCCCAGATGCGCACGCGGATCTTCACAGTGACCGGCTCCAGCAGGTCGACGTCGAAAAGGGACCCTCGCCGAGGTTTGGACAACTTCGGGGGGCCTGGATTTTTCGCTTCCCCGATCCGAGCTGCGTCATCCCGAACGCAGCACGAGACAGATGAAGTTCGGCTCTGAGCAGCATCCAGAATGGCAACCGCCAAACGTTCGCAGGCACGAGGGGGCATGGCACCAGCCAGCTCGGTCCGAGTACACTTCTCTGGTCCAAGCCTGCCCCGCAAGCGCACATGCTCATGCTGTCCCGAACAAAGCTCCTCCAGTCCAGCAAGCTTCGTGTCAGTGAGAACTCGCGTGCGTTTTCGCCAAGGCCGACCGTATCTGCACTGGTCGAAAACCCAGTATTGCAGAGCAGGGTGCTCGTGCTTCAGGCTGCAGATCAAGGGATGCATCCAAAGGAGGCTCGTCGCTGGGTTCTCCAACCAAAAGGGGATACCTGCCAGGACTAAACCCCTAACGAGACGAACGACGAAGGCAACGTGTGCGTTCCCTCGCTCGAGCTTTGCTGCATCCGCTGGCCCAGCAGCGGGGACACCCAGGGGGAACTCGGAAGTGCGCAAGGAAGGCTTGCAGGCCGAACTAAAGCTAGCTGACCCTAAAGCAATGCCAACCGCGAAGAACACCCCTGAAGACACGGCTGAGATTATGCGCTCCTGCAAGGAAGCGTCAGAGAGATCTTGGTCTGCTCCGTGCGCCCAGTCGAAAGTCAGAGCCCAAGCGGCCCCTTGGGCAACAACAGCCTTTGCGACCCCTCGGCTGCCAGCGTAGAGGCACAGGTAACCTGGGCAGTTAGGTCGCTGAGCTGGTTTTGGCCTACGCCCAGACGGCCACAGAAACTGCTTTGGTGAGCACAGCTGCAAAAGAGGGTGCCCAAACACGGAGGCAGCAGGTTGCTCCTCCGGTGTTTCAGTGCAAGCAACCTCGACGGGCACTCTTGCCGAGCCGAAGTGGGCTTCGTTTTCGGACCCCAAGCCCGGACTGGTATCCCTGGCTTCGAAAGCCTGCTGCAGCTCAGGAAACCCCTGCAACTGAAGAGGATCCAACCCTCTGCCCTGCAAGAACTGGTCAAGTCCCCTGAAGTCTCCCAACAAAGCTTCCTGCAACCAACTCGGTAACGGCTCACAAGGGGATCGAACTGGCAAGAATCGAGTCGGGTCATCGCTGGGATTGTCTTCACTGGCTACGTAGGAGTAATGCGGATGCAGATTGAAGAAAAGGACCGCGGGCAGTGACGCGCGCAGCCGGCAGTTCAAAGAAAACGAGCTCGACCGACCCTTCACAAGCGCTCCTAAGCACACCTGCGAGTCCAGCAGGGCTAGGCTTCGGGCGCTTTCCCAAACGTTAGTGCACAGGGCTTCTTCGGCGGAAATATAAGATTCCAGTTCTTTGATGTTTATGTGATCAAGCTTTCTCTTTTTGAACACAGCACCAAGGCGGAACTTCAGCTTCCGGGTCAACTCCGTCCAAAGCGCATGTGTCCGGTACGATTCTCCCGGCAACTCGTACTCGGCATCAAGCATGCCAGCCCTGCGCAAGGTAGTCTCGGAAGGCCCCAACAGCTTGTTCCAAAGGCCTTTTACCAAGGCGTGCCTCCGGAGCTCCTTTGCGAAGTCAGCTCCAACTCGAGTGGTCACGAAAGCGCCTCGGGTGTCGGAAGCGTCAGAGGCAACAACGCAGCCGGAGGTGGCAGCCCGGAGATCACAGACAATCAAGGGGGCTAACACCGAGAGCCGAAACAGCTCCAGCCTGAGCTCGACGGAGGACTCAACCAACTCGCTCCTGGCACGCCCTCGCTGGAGAACGTAGACCTCCTGGAGGAGACAAAGCGCCCGGCGCCGAAAACTAAGCACGGACACCCAAGACCCGGCTAAGACCTCCAGCAGCGACACAGACACCAACGGGAGTTGAGCAGCGGCAACCGTCAAGGAGGCCAAGGGGACCAAGCGAGCCCAGCTCGGCCTGACGATACCTTCCTCGCCAAACACCTGCGCTCCCCAGAACTCCCCATTAGTCTCACAGAAGAAAGCCTTCCCAGGATGCCGTGGTAAGCCAGCCGCGAGGTACGCAGCTCGGATCCGCTCGACAAGCAAAGGGCTCGAGCACGCAGCCAAGTCAACAGGAGTGCCACGGCAGACTTTTTCAAGCAGTACAAGGTCGTCGATGACAATGCCGAGGGCGCTCGGTCCTCGAGGAACGCGCCCATGCATGGTGAGCAATGTTCGGAAATCGGCGACTCCAGCTGCCATCAACAATCCAACATGGGCGGCTTGACCAAAAGACACCGCGTTAGAATCACCCATGGCCATCGTGTGGACGGCTGCGACAACAGCCTTTGATTGCCAAAGCTCGGCGTGAAAAGCACGGAAATGCTGAAGCTCCTCAGGGCGGAAAGTGCCGACGATCCTGTACTTAGAGCACCGGTCGCGGCTCACGTGAAAATTATAATAATAATCACGTATATCTTCGCCGCTCAGGATGAACTTTTCATGCGGTGCAAGCTCGAGGTCAACCAACGACGCTGCCGATGCCATGGTGGCAACCCACCGCGTATCGATCTCGATACAGCTGTTTTGAGGCCTAGCGTCAACAATCAGACGGTCTGCCGTCAAGCTTTTTGGGATGCAGAAGAGACCACATGCCGTACGAGAGTCGAAAGCTGCACCGTCGAACAAGGCTAACCTATCTCCCGAGTCAAGAGCTGCAAGGAAAGCAAGCCGTGCCCCCTTCGAGGCCGCACGAAACTTCACCTTCGGCACCGGTTCCAACACCTCATCAATGGAAATCTCATGCCGAGAAGGGTTGAGGTACAAGCTCCGCATGTGCCTATCCAAGTAAGGTGTCGGATCGAACTGCGGAGGAGGCGGGAAGCTCAACCGTGCAATCTCGACGTCCTTTGCTAAGTGGTGCTGGCTAGCGAAGTGGCAATCCCCACGCTCAGCAGCAAGACTGAGCTCACGGACTTGCGATTCAACCTGTTCCACCTTGCTCGCTGCTCGGCCCATGTCGGACGCGGTCACAGGAGGGAAGGAGTTCCATGCAGCAACGCGCTCGGCAACCCGGGTCCAAGCACGACCAACTGGCGCTCCAACAGAACAAGCCTCAGCACGGTGATAGAAGGAAGCGCCCGGCCCTTTTGCCACGCGGTGCAATGGCTCAGACGCTAACGAATCGAGAACCGAAGCAACAAGGCTCAAAGCTCGCTGATCACAATCACTAGAGGTAAGTGCACTGACGCCTAGGGAGGCGAGGGTATTCGAGAAGAATTGGACCCGATGCGGGCCGAAAGAAGTCGTGGTGCAGGCTGTGAGGCGAGATGCCAAAGGCGCATCCCGACGCAAAAGGTCATGCAAAGCGTCCCAGTGTAAGGCTGAAGTCACAGTCGAGGCTCCGGCACCGGGAGCAGAAGGAGACGAACTAGCCATCCCCACGACGGCCAGCAGGAGGACCTGCTGGCCAAATCCACACAAGCGGCTCATTTACCCTGACCCCCGGAGGGGCCCGGTTTCTCATTTCCATCACCACGCTTTCCACCTCCACCTTTCCGCCTATCGGCCTTGTCATCCCCCTCCGGGACTCCAGTGTTGTCCGCGTGGCCTTGGCGACCCTTTCCTAACTTACGCTTCGCCTCTAAGTGAACATCGAGTTCGCGGACTCGGTGGAGGAAGAGTTCGCACCATCGCGGTTCCAGCAATCGGGTGTGGAAGGATTCCAAGGGCTCGGCCTGAGCAGATCGGCGATTCGCAAACACCCCCAACGGAGCCGGTGCCTCAAGCAGGACCTGGTCAGCTATCACCCACGACCCGTGATCTAGGGACTGCTGGTCCCCCGACGCAACAAGTAATGCACAACGAGCTCGAGCCTCATCCGTCTTTCCGAGCCGCAATGCATCCCAGACTCCGCAAATCCCCCAAAGGAGCCGTACGGTAGTGGGATAGTTGCCTAAGTGGCTGCGATGTTCCAACCACGCACGCGCAGTTGCGCGCGACTCCTCCAGGGAAGTACCGATTCGCCTGTGCAACAAGTCCTCCTCAAGGAGCCGCTCTATGGATCCATATATCTGTTCCGGCTCCCTGACAAGTGCCTCCCGAAGGATCCTCAAAGCTGCGCTCTTCGAACGCGACCCTGAACCCCCGACACCAACAAGGTCATTGCTACCGGAAGCACCCTCGGCCCGATCAAGCGCAACCTCAAGCCGGGTTCCAACTTCTGGCCTCGCCTTAGGCTGAGCAAGCTTTGCAACAATCTTTGTGAGGGCGACCACCGCAGCTTCAATGGGAGGGGCAGCAGCCCCTCCTGTCACAAGCGGGTCTTCCTCATCATCCTCCTCACTCGTCGCGACACCAGCACCTAAGGGAGGAGCTTCGCCAAGAGGGTCGGCAGCGGCAACAGGAAAATCAGGCAACTTTCCACCACGCTGTCCAAGCAACTTGCGAACCTCACCAAGCGATCCCAAACTGACCCCGGCTTCCTCGGCAGCTCGGACAACACTCGGATCAAGTCCCGAAAGCTCCTGCGCACGGCCTGGTAAGCGAGGGGTTCCCGGCACGGACCCCTCTTTTTTGGGTTTACGCTTTGCTTTGGCGGCCTGGGTCGGCCCGGCCGCTTTTGGCGCAGTCGCATCCCCAACCAACTTCTCAAGAGAAGCACTCATGCGAGCCATGGTGGCCTCTAACGTTGGGGGTGTTCTCTACCATCATTTGTAGGCCTCTACTATGACAGAAACCCTGGCGACTCCGTGCCGGCAACGGGCTTACAACAGAAACTGTAACGGAACGTAGTGGAGCTGTAACGGATTTGTCGCGGAGCTGTAACGGACCTGCAACGGAGCTGTAACGGAAGCTGTAACGGAGCTGTAGCGGAGCTGTAGCAGAAGCTGTAACGGAGCTGTAGCGGACCTGCAACGGAGCTGTAACGGAAGCTGTAACGGAGCTGTAACGGAGCTGTAGCAGAAGCTGTAACGGAGCTGTAACGGACCTGCAACGGAGCTGTAACGGACCTGCAACGGAGCTGTAACGGAAGCTGTAACGGAGCTGTAACGGAGCTGTAACGGAGCTGTAACGGAGCTGTAACGGACCTGCAACGGAGCTGTAACGGACCTGCAACGGAGCTGTAACGGAAGCTGTAACGGAGCTGTAACGGAGCTGTAACGGACCTGCAACGGAGCTGTAACGGACCTGCAACGGAGCTGTAACGGAAGCTGTAACGGAGCTGTAACGGAGCTGTAACGGAAGCTGTAGCGGGGCTGTAACGGACCTGCAACGGAGCTGTAACGGACCTGCAACGGAGCTGTAACGGAAGCTGTTATAACGGACTGTAGCGGAGCTGTATAACGGAGCTGTAGCAGAATGCTGTAACGGAGCTGTAACGGACCTGCAACGGAGCCGTAACGGATTTGTCGCGGAGCTGTAGCGGACCTGCAACGGAGCTGTAACGGAAGCTGTATCGGAGCTGTAGCGGAGCTGTAGCAGAAGCTGTAACGGAGCTGTAGCGGACCTGCAACGGAGCTGTAACGGAGCTGTAACGGAAGCTGTAACGGAGCTGTAACGGAGCTGTAGCAGAAGCTGTAACGGAGCTGTAACGGACCTGCAACGGAGCTGGTAACGGAAGCTGTGACGGAGCTGTAACGGAGCTGTAACGGACCTGCAACAGAGCTGTAACGGACCTGCAACGGAGCTGTAACGGAAGCTGTAACGGAGCTGTAACGGAGCGGAAACTGAGGGCCCAGGGTGGGTAGCGCAAATCCCATAGTAAATGATGGTAGAGAACACCCCCAACTCTAACGCAGCAAGGCGAGTCTCCGGATCAGGATTGGAGGCCGCCGTTAAAAAGGAAAACTGAGCATCGGCAACTTGTACCAATGCAGTGGCATAAGGCAAAGTGGGCGAGCCGTCAGGACCACTGAAGGTCACGTCGCAGGACTGCCAAGGTTCTCCAAAAACAATGGTATCCACGACGGTTTGAGAAAGGAGCCCAAGCCACACTTTCAAGGAAGAAGCCGCAAGCTGGGTGCGATCACTGCTTTCGGAAGCTGCAACCTCAACCAACACCGGCTTGGTGAAGGGCCCCGCGGGGAGCTTTCGCTTCTGCACTTTTTTGTCCCAGGCTTTCTGCGGGAGGGCCGCCACAACACGCTGGTTCATAACTGAAATAAGGATCACAGCTACACGCTTGCGTGCCGCCGACTCGCCAACAGTCAGCACTCCAGGCTCATACTCAAAAACCGTGTCCCCGCCCGTCCAAACATACTGCAACACTTCTGGGCGAGGGACGCTCTCTTCGCTATCACTGCCTGGTTCAGACATCGTCACCTCTCACCGGCAAGGGAATCCGAGCCGCCTGGCACGCAGCCTCCGCCTCCCAAATCGAAGGAAATCCACAAAAGAGGCTCTCACCCAGAGCTCCGTCCCTCTCGGTATACCGACAACACGCACGATAGGAGCTGACAAGCACAGGAGGATCAAGCAGCTCACCCGCGTGATTTTTCACAACCAAGTACACACGATTGCTCAAAGGATTTCGTGAACGACCGCTGTTACCTCGGAACTCACCGTCAATCCCCCGACGAAAGAACAACCCAATGTCAAAAGCAATGGCCCGTCTCTCTTCCTGGGTGATGCGCTGCGACGGTGGCAACTGCACTGGAGCTGCCTGAGCAGCTGGAGCCCGCGTCGGGCTCGGGGCCGAAGCCCTGCGAGGGATATCTGTCGGAGCGACACTAGGGGCCGCTACACTGCCCAGATCGGCAGCTGAATAGGCACTAGAGGGACTGCCGGGGTCAGTTGCGTCCTGGAAGTCCAACCGGCGACGCACAATGTCACTCAAGATCCCGTGCTCCCTCTCCAAAGCCCGAACAGCTAAAGTCAATTCCCGTACAGCCAAAGTCAACTCTCGAATCTCGGCCTCTCCCCTGCTCATGAAATAAAGCGATACAAGGGCTCCCCACTGCGAGACCGCCGCACACTGGCACGAACGAAGCTGGACCACCAAACGCGGAAGAGGTAAAGAGAGTCGATTAGGGGACCTAAAAGAAACCCTATGAGAACCCCGACCAGCAAAGACGGCAGATGCAAGTCCTCGATCGATACAGCCGCGGGGCAAGTCCCGCACGCACTCAGAAGCTCAGCAGCGGCCGGCACCTGTAACCCAGTTGGCTCGTACGCCAACGCCTCGAGGAAACGGAGGCCGAAATGAGCTAGGGACCCACCTACCAAACTCACCTGTAAGGGGCGAGACATTCAAAGCCAAGAAAAGCTGCACATCCGCTTCGTACATCATGCGCAGTCATGCAAGCAATCACGTGTACTTGGACTTGTACATGCACATGTACATGTGTACATACTAAATAGGCTGTAATATGCGGCTAACAGATCTGCCTTGGAGGATGTTCCTGTGCATAGCCCCCCGGTGCCTGCACTGGACAGACGAGTCTAAGTGGCTTCGGAAGCTCCTGACTGTGCTGTGCAGTCTCTGCGCCTCTGGAGCCACCTCGGGCTGCGGCATGGTGTTGTACCCTGAAGCAGCCAGATTGGCTTGGAGCCTGGGGTGGGACTGCCATGGACGGGACGTGCACATGTGTGGGTGTGTGTGCATGTATGTATGTATGTATATATATATATATATATATATATATATATATACATATACATATACATATACATATATGTGCCTACATACAGATATACTTGTTATATATAAATATATATGTAATAAACACTTAACATACATTCTCTGAGCTGTCGGCCTTTGGCTGGCAGAGGAGCGCCTGCTAAGCGGGGTCAGGCTATTTGTCTAAGCTGCGATCTTGATGGGTCTTCTAGGATTCCAGGAGATAGGATTAGGGGGACCCACCGGCATGTAGACCCTTTCAACAAGCTCCTTATTTAAGAGGGCCAGAAGGAGGGTCAAGAAGGGTTTTCTGTAAGGGGTTTTCCTCATACTGCCTAGGATCTTCTGCCTCCCCGTGGCACCGCCGGGGACTGTCCCGTGCTGCTCATGGAGAGACGAATCGATGGCCAGGTAATCGGTCTGACAGCATTGGACATCTGCATGAAAATCTAAGACATCGTACGGGGTTTCAAGCTCCACAGTCGGAAAGCTGCGTCAGGCTGGCCCCGTCAGCCACGAGGTCTGATTTGCCCATTGTTCGATTCACCAGCCGCTCCTGCCGGAGGGCAAAGTGGTGATGTCGCAGCAGAAAATCCCGGATGCAGCCTTTTGGAACAGCTCCGAGGACATCTCCCTTGTCTTTTTGTCCTGCAAATTTGCACGAAATCTCACTCAATATCTTCTCCTACAGCCCAAGCCAACAGTCCTTGGCATCCAAATTGGCACGCTCCGCTGCGTGGCTCTTGTGGCGGCAGCGCTCGTTCCGCACCTCGTGCGGAGGCATTGAGTCATTGAGATCATACTTCGTTACTCGGATAGGCCGGCCAAAGCTCGGCCATGCTCGGCCCATGGCATCGTGCCACTTCAAATCCACGGAGGTCGACCAGAACTCCTGAGTCCAAAGGCACGCTTCCCGTTGGGCCGTGGGCCCTCGGGGATCCAGCCTTGGGCATGAACTGCGCGTCCCGCTTTGTCCCGGGCCCGTTCGCCGCACTGCAGCCAAATGCGTGTGCAGCGAGGCTCTCCGAATTGCACTCATCGGGCACTACTCTTCGCGCTTACGCCTGATGCCAACTGTCAGACGACAGATTGTGCAGGCTGCCGAACCTGCTTGCTGGCAGCACGGCATGGTTGCCCGTCATCAGGGCATACTTCATTTCCTGCGGCCTGCATCGGAAGTTCTGATGTCTGATGCGAAGTCACATGGCCCGGAACCCCGCCCGGCCGGGCGCCTGGGCAAGTTCATGGCCTCTGGCACGCCGTTCTTCTGCACGTAGCTCTGCCGCAGGTTCTCGAGAAGCTCCTTGCGACAAACAAGCGAAGGGCAGAAGCGACGTTGAGGTCCCCTGGGCACGGCACTTGGGTCCTTCTGCCTGCTGGCCGAATACACCGACTTGTCAGAGCCGTTTTCATCGAAGATGTTGGAGGTCATGTGCACCAGCCGGCGCTCCCTGTCAGTTCCGCACTGCGCATGCGTGAGTGCTCCTGTGAAGAAGGCCTTGCAGTCAGCTCCGCCATGGCACCTAATCTGGCGTCCTACTCTGGCTACTTCGGTCGACCTCGGTTGATAGTGTCCAGTTTCCTGCACTTGATTACAGTCTTGGTCCCCATGTGTACCAACTGCCTCTCCTTCTCCGCTCAAGATCCGCCGGGCTGGCGACAACTGCAGAAACAAGCGTCAGCCATCAGCAGGGAAGCGACGGAATGCAACAGCGATGGAGAAGCATGTCCGAGCAGATGCCAAGTTTTCGAAGTTCTGCGCTAGCCCCTCTGGTGCGTCACCCAGCCTCTCTGAAGCGCATCGTGTCGCAGTTTTTGCGACAACCCACGTGGAGTTTCGCTCCACGGTCTTTTCATAACTCTTGCTGTTTTTAGCTTTACGGAGATTTGATGGAGCCTGCAGAGTCTGGTCACTACAGGCAACTGTGAACATGAACACCGTCTTCTGGATGAGTTCTACCGTACCTTTCTTGACCCAATCCCTTCCTTGTGTCCAGCATTTTGTGCTGTGTTGCATGGTCTGCTGCCTGTGTACTCTGGACTCTGCACGCAGCTTGAAGGCCGCTTCAACGGCACTGGCCTCGAGCACAGGCAGGGAAAGCTCCTCTCATCCCGAGCAGTGAGAGCAAGACTTAAACAGTGGCAGTGCTGAGATCCTGGCAAGGGGACGAGTGGTGCAAGACCTCACCACTCATCTTCTCCTGCCACGGCTTTTGCTTGTGCTGCGTCGGCGCCGCTTTGACCTGCTGCTATCGCTGCTTCTCCGCCTGAGCAAGGCTCGCTGAGCTGCAGATTCAGCTCAATGCGTCCGCATTCAATTCTGCCTTCGACGGCGGTCCCTGCTGCGATCTCGGCTGCGGCTTCGCTCTTTACCACCACCTGCCAAGCCGATCACTGAGGCTATGCCGTCAGTCATGCCCTGCCGACTTCCGAAGACGCTAGCCTCCACCTCCGCCCCTCGCTTGAGCTCGGGCGCGCTCACGCTCCAGGAAGAGGTCACGGCCTCGCAAACCGCGAGAATTCCGGCCAGTAGCTGTGGCTTTCGGCTGGCGGCTAAGGCCCGCACTTGTGACTTCCAGATTCCGCTCTGTGGCCGTGGGCGGTGCACCACGACCCCTGCCCTTCCCCTGCATGTATTGCGCCTCACGGCGACAAAACAAGGGCGAGAGGCTTGAGGGGCTGCAGCCGTGCCTTGAGGAGCATCCCATCTATCACAACTTGTCCAGCGTTTATGGCTTCCAGCGCCCTGCATGAAACGGAGCGCGTCCTGTGCTCCCTCGCGGTGAGAGTCTTGCCCTTCTGCCTCTGTGCAGCTTCAGGCGTCGAGAAGCGAACCTGACAAGCTGAGAAAGGCTTCTGCTTCTGCAGACGTCTGCAACCCGCGAATGCCGGCAGCTCCAGGTACGAGATGGTACGAGCAGCTCTATTACTGCCTTCGGGGGCTCCTCTTCCGGGTTTTGCCGATTGCCCATGTGAACCAGATCCACCTGGCCAAGGGCCTAAGGGCGACCCTGGGACAGCACATGTTTGCGTCTTCGGTCCAAGTGCCAGCCTGGCCAAACTGCTCCATGTGGCCTTTCAGCGCCTCAGCTGGGCTCAGCTGCCAGATTAGCGGATAAAACGGGGGCACCTCTTCGCGCCGAAACGAGCCAAGTCGCAAGGCGGTTAATACCCGGTACCACGCCCTCCGTTATCTGGATGCAGGTGCTCATGCCTGCTTCGGCACACCCTGACGACCCACCAACGGTTGCTTGAGATAGTCAGCTGTCAGCTGCCTGCGAGGTCGTGGGCGGGCCCGCCAACTTCGCTTCGATCGCCTAGCTGCAAACCTCCGTCGAGCGAATGCCCTTCACTCCCCTTCCCCAGTACAAAAGACTGCAGGTCGGCATGGCCTGGACGTTCAAAACTCCCATGTGAGGGGCTTTGCTACAAATGGATGAAACCCGCCATCTGCTGAAGCCACAGGCGGTGCAGACGCCCAAACGCCAATCTATGAGAGCAGCAGCGGAGGCGAAGCCTCGTGCCGTGAGCTACGCTGAATCCCGCTTTTTGCCCCTGCATCAGATCGGGTGTGCAGACATTTCATACATCTTGTATGCTATGCGTCCAATACACTTCCCGACTTTGTGTCGGGCGGCGTTTGAGATGCAACGACTATAGTGCGAAAAACAGAAGCATGTGCCAAGAGAACATAACAAGGTGTCATCAAAATTTGCATATGCTTCTGCTAGAGACTGCATGCAGTTGAGGCGGGGGCATCAACCACATGCTATCTTAATTTGCAGCTAGACAAGACATTGCCCACAAACTTGACCACACGCCAACGGAAAGTTGGCGCTTCGGAAACGGAAAGAGCTAACAAAGCTGCGAACTCACCGAGCTTCCCGAGCTAGGGTGCCCGAAGTGCCCGAGTTCGAGTGCGCAGTTCCAAACGTAAAACGGATGGAAAACACGGCGGCACACTGTGCAGGGGTGAATGTGAGCCGTGTCACAGTGCTCTCAGAGGATTGCACTTCCAACCGAAGGGTCTGTACAGAGGGTGCCTCGCGAGAGGTTTTATCGTCATCCCCTGAAAAGCAGAAAGCGGTAAGTTTGGCACGTCGCGGAGAGACTTTCGACAGCTGACGGCCAGCCACAAAACCTGCCACCAACAGCCAACTCCCTCTACCTCAAGCCTTGAGACAAGCAACAGGCCCTTGCCTAGACACTGCGACCTGGAAGCACTGGAAGAGGATGCAATTTCTGAACTACAGATGCCAAACGCCTTCTTCCGAACTCAGGCAGCCACAGTCCGGCCGTCAGCCTCTGGGCCTCTGGCCTGGTAGCGACAACTTGTCTCGCCTATCGTCTATCGTGGCCTTTAGCTGCTTGACTTCTGAGGTCCTCACAGGCAGGTTAGCCAACCGGCACAGAGGCAGAACACTGTATGTGCCTCAGATGTGCAAGAGGCTTTGCATGCGAGACTGCGGGCAGGGTGCAAACCCATGGGAACACTCAGGCAGATGCTGCTGCGAAGCCGAGGAGACATGCATAACGGATATTCCAACAGCCTTCGGATGAAATGCAGCTGCGGAAAAAATCGTCTCTGCAATCTACGAGATTCTTAGGATACCCGTACCCCGCCTGTCACATGCGCATGCCTCATAGCATGAGACCGAAGGCACAGTCCGCTTTGTGCGAAGCATGCCTCGTGGGAGACAACTCGAAGTCGCACCTATTCAGGCTTGCACCTGCCTCCAGACATCATGCCGCGTTTGAGGGCGTTGGCATGGACATGTGAACTGTGTAAAGGTTGAGGCCTCAGAGACAAGGTAGCACCTTTGCGGCCTGCACTTCGTGAATGTTGCCTTGGGACCGGGCGAGATCATCGCTCCAGTCTGAGAACCTAGGAGATGTTTTGTAAAAAACTGTGCACAAGTCAACAGACAGACTCCGAGGCATGCCGTGATAAACCCGATCTGCAGACCAATCTCCAGACGTGTCATCCGCGAAGAGAAGCGCGCAAAGCTTGGGTGGGCTCACCGAGCTCTCTGCGTTGGAAAGCTTCCGTGCAGGTCGCCTCAGGCGGCCCTGCAGGCGGCCTCGATGCAGCCAGCGGCGACATTGCACCAGGGTTCTGCATGGACAGAGGATCCAGCTGCACCAGACTTTCTGCCCTCTGCATCAAGCCAGCTGGCGACGATCCTGCCATACCTTCAGACTACACCCTGGTTTCAAGAGCGAAGCCGAGAAGTCTGCTTCGCCTCGCCTGGAGACTTTGAGGGACGGCAGCTCTGCGCACAGCAACTCGCGGGCTCTGGCCAGATCGGGCCCATCCAAGGCCTCTGAGGCATCGCGTGCACAGCGCGCAGCGTGCCGACAGGATCGTGCCTGTAGAAGAAGACGTACAGCTGAATGGCCGTGACGTGCATGGGCCTCGTGATCAGACGGCTGCAGCACCGAGCACGAGAGAGGCTCAACAGAGGATGCGGAGGCAAGGACCATGAACGTCAGCAGCCCTTGTTCCTCGAAAGCTCGCAAGTGCTACGTGGCTGAAACTGGAGAGCGACTCTCAGCTGTCCTGGACGATGGCTCGCGCCAGGGAGATCGCATCCTCTTTACAAAGCTGGGACCTGAACTCGAGCCGCAAAGCTTAGAGCCCAAAGACTTTCGCTTCTCCTTTGGAGGGCCAGGCAATGCTGCAGCAACCACTGCACTCCCGAAGGAATCCTGGCAAATGGGCACGATCTCCTTTCTGAGCTCCTGTAGGGCAAAAAGGGAGCAAAGAGAAAGCTGGGCAAAGCTCGGAAGAAGCCTCGGCCAGCTTGTGACGATGAGCTGGTGTACCATGCTCTAGCAAATTCTGCAAGACCTAAAAAAAGGGGCGCAAAGACACTCGATGGCCTCTTCTGACCAAGAAAAGAAACATCACTTTCATGGAAGGGTCGTCTGAGGCTGCAGCATAGTTGCCGTAGGGGTGGCGTGCGATCCCACTAACATCAGACAGGATGGCGGTAGCCACGCACTCCACCTCGGCTTGGCGGCGGGGCAGAGCACAAAATCATGAGGCGAGCCGAGCCTGAGCTGTAGAACAGCGTTCTAGCAGCCTGACAGCGCAGCAAGAGGTTGAGAAGCAAGTCCAAAGAGACGAAGTAAGGCATCGGGTCCTCTGAATTATGCGGCAGCCGTATTTGTGGCGAGCAGCCTGGAACAAATTCATGGTCATGGCTCGGCGATTCTTTCGAGCATCGCGGCCCTGCTCAGAGGCACCGGCCAGTTCCACAAAACCGTTGCAAGCCATGATCTCGTCGATGATGAACTGACAGTCTGGAGGCCTCAGATGCTCAGATCGGCTCATGAAGCAACAGAAACCCAGTCATCCCAGTTAGTGACTGTGCAAACTCAATTTATTCTGTGCCCTCCGGTCGGCCTGGACGAGGTGATACACTTCTGCAGGACATGATTCGCGTGAGGGCATCGCATGGCATCCAGCACATGCCCAGCGACTTCTGCCACGATAAGGCGCCGAAGATCCTCACTGGCTTGCTCCAGCGCAAGCTGAACGTCTCGGCAACCTTTGGAATCCTGCGACAACTCCCAAACACGTCCCACCAGACTCGTCATGCCACCAGTCATGCCGCCGGCAATGCTGCCAGCAACGCCACCGGTCAAAACAATGTCTCTGCCACCACAGCATCCACCACTGCTAAGGTTTCCCAGCCCGCATTCTATCTTTCGCGCGCCGAGCAATCGCGGCAGAGTATCTTGCACACGGTCCTCTTCCTGCCGCACAGATCGTTCTGCGCGAACAACTCCGGCGCTAAGATAGCTGGCCCAAGGTGGATCTTCGTTGGAATTTATCCTCTCGATCAACGCTCGGAGGGGAAAAGCCAAAGCCCTTGGCTTCGGTGGCTTGGCTGTGTGCCTTCCGCGACGCGTGCTCTGCATCATGCTGCGGCCACAGATTATGAACTACACTGGCCGCGCTTGGCTATAGGGCCCAGAAGCTGCAAAGCACTGCAAAGCACGCAAAGCTGTGAGACTGACGGAAGATCTCTCACCATGGCTTAACATCGCTCTCGCTATCTTTTCTTGGCTGCGGCATACAACGGAGCATGCTCTTGCAGAGCCCTGAGGACCTGAAACTCTTGCACTGTCGCTTTGGACGCATCCTCAGCCAGGGCACGCCTGATACCACGTCAGTTCGCCTTCGGGCTGAAAAACATCTTTCGGTGTCTTGCGGTGGCGCCTCGAAAGAAAGCGGCGTCTCTAAAGCCTCCCAGTTTCAGGGCGGTTCATTGCACATTCGCAGCATCTGTACCATCTCAGGTCCGCCACGCCACGTCCACGCTCGCTGATAGCTCGCCATGGCTCCTCCAGATCGTCCGCGGCTTCCCGGTCTTCGACTTTCCAGAGCCACGGCGCCCCGCCGCGTCGCTCGTGCCTTTTAACGCCACCAGAAGTATGCAGTGAAGGCTATGGCGTCGCAAGCATTTTGCCACGCTGTTGTTTTCGCGCCAGGTTCTGTGCTCACAATATGGCCGGCAGCCCCGCTGATAAACCGACAAAACCGTCATTAGCAGCCTCGATATAAGAGCATCGTTTATTCTCCAATCTTTCCTGCCCTACCTGCCGACGCCTCACGAGTCACCGTCGGGCTTCTCGGCACCGTACCTGCACCAACGCACAGCCTTAAGACGTCTCAGGCCCATGACAAATCGTGAAGGATGCCGGAGGTAAAGGGCGCTCTATCAACACTTTGGATGTGAGGGGAGAGAGTGAGTGAGTGGTGCGAGGGAAGGAATGAGGGAGGAAAGGACGGGAGCCAGTGAGCGGGTGAGGGAGGGAGCGTGAGGGAGTGAGTGAGGGCTAGAAATGAACGACTCGCGGCAGTCGATGCGCTGGCCACCTCTATGAGTCTGGAACAGTGACACAGACGCCGAACCACCGGCCGGTATATTCACAATACTTGACATGTCATCCTAGCCTATCATGAACTGGCGAAAATTATGTGACATCTGTACTGACATGCTTGAACTGACTTGAGGGCCGGAGGCATGGATCTGTGGATATTCGCTCGGCAGGGCAGCGAACTTCTATCAGCGGGAGCACAGCAGCAGTAGTAACAGTAGGAGTAGCAAGTAGCAAGTAGCAAGTAGCAAGTAACACGTAGCACGCAGCACGTAGCAAGTAGGAAGTCGCAGTAGCAGTAGGAGAGGAGTAGGTCGTGGTA